GTTCTTCAAAATTATTTCAATTCCTATGGATTCTGATGCAGTTTTTCACAAGGATTCTGAATATGTGGTTGGTTTTAAAATTCGAGTGAAAAAAGTGAGATTTTCATCATTTTTTCGAAAAGAATGCTTTTTTTATTTACTTCAAAAAAGAAAAGTGTACTTTTCGTATTTGACCTCTATCTTCGCGAAAATACAATTTATTCCTAAAAAATTATTACCAAAATGATCAGCGCAAAATTCTCTACAAACCCTGAGAGTTTCAATGGATTTGAGCATGGTCGCCGGATCGGCTGGCGATTTCTGGTGGAATGACCCAACATTCAACATCTGCTGATGAAAGACTACTAAACTTTTTAAGATTGAATCCAAGTATTTGGGGTGTCGCACATATTCCAATCAATCTAGAATTAATATGCAGTCTTTGGAGTGATACTGATTGGTCCGAAACAAAAACACTGACAATGACAGCACTTTATGACAACATTGCCGAATGGTTATGTCGACGATATCTATCAAAACAAAATAGTGATATTCAGATGACAAAAGAAGACATTTATGCAGATTGCCATAAAGAACTGGCATTTTTGGAAACATTAGCATTTAAAGGAATGGAAAATAACACTGTAATTCTACGAAAAGATTTGCTACAGAAGACTTTGAAGGAGACCGAGTACTCGTCGAAACACTACACCCGCTTACTTAATATTGGTATTCTAAAATCGATAAACGTACAGTCGACTGGTAATCGAATTGAAGTAGAGAAAGATCATTATTTTATTCATCTCAGCTTTCAAGAACATTTTGCAGCACGATACTTAGTGAAAGCTCTTAATGGTCCAGGACGTCAAGCAGCCATTGAATTTATTAACAGTCACAAATATAACCAACGTTTTCAATTGGTATTTATCTTTACCTCTGGTCTTCTTGCTCAGAGTGATGTTGAATCATGCACTGACATGTTCTGGGACATCATTTTAGGGGAACCATCGGATTTAGTTGGTTTAAGACAGATACAATTAATCATTTCTTGCATGGAAGAGAATGCTAGTAATTCATGTTTTCACCGACATGCCGAGTTGATGGATTATATAACAAAAGGGATCATAATTGCTATATCTATGAAGCATGATATTATTTACAAACAACTTCAAGAGTCATTGCAAAGGAGTGCCTCATTAGTCGATGACTCAAGAATACAAGACACATTCATAAAGCTTCTCAAAAGCGAAGATCCACATGTAAAAACGAATATTCTCTCAATGATTTCACAATTATCGTTTTCAAATTCATCACCTCAACTCATTCATACACTGCTTCTCTACCTTGATGATGAGTACTGGTATACAAGAGCGATAGCATGTGAAGCTCTCGGGCAAATGCGCGGCGAAGCAGTAACCGATGATGTGATTAATAGACTAGTAGCTGCACTTGGGGACGAGAATGATAACGTCAAATCGAATATATATCTTGCTTTGGGGAAAATTGGTGGAAAAGCAGCAAGTGATCAAATAAGAGACCTTCTGTCGGCTGTACTCGCTGATGAGAATGAGTATTTCAGAGAAATAGTATGTGTGGCTCTTGGAGAAATGGGTGAAAAAGCGGCAAGTGATGATGTTTTAAATAGATTGGTGGCTGCTGTTGATAATAAGACTGCGGATATTAGACGGAAAGCATGCGATGCTCTCGGAAAAATTGGTGAAAAAGCAGCAACCAATGATGTTATGAATAAGTTGGTGACTGCATTTGGAGATGAAAACTATTATGTTAGGGAGAGTGCACGAAAATGTCTCGGAAAGTTGGATAAAAAAGTAACAACCAATGATATTATCAATAGGTTGATGATGGCACTTCAGGATAAGGATGCTAATGTTAGACAACGTGCATGTGCATCTCTGAGGGAAATGGGTGAAGAGGTTGCAACGAATGACGTTATCAATAGGTTGATGATTGCTCTTGGAGACGAGAACCCAAATGTTCGAGAGGATGCGTGTAAAGCTCTTGGAAAAATGGGTGAACGAACAACTAGCGATGATGCAATCAATAAGCTGGTGATTGCACTTGCGGACGAGAACGCAAATGTTCGATGGTCTGCATGTCAAATTCTTAGGAAAATGGGTGAAAAAACACCAATCAACGGTGTAATCAATGAGCTGGTGGCTGCCCTTAAGGATGAACATTGGAACATCAAACGAGATGCATGCAACGCTCTCGGAGACTTAGGTGAAAAGGCAGCAACCAATGACGTTATCAATGGTCTTATGACAGCGCTCGAAGATTGTTATGGGAATGTAAAAGAGGCTGCATGCAAAGCTCTCGGAGAAATGGGTGAAAAGGCAACAGCCAATGACGTTGTCAATGGACTGATCAATACACTTGGGAATGCGTGGTCTGATGTCAGAGAGAGTGCGTGGAAAGCTCTTAGAAAAATGAATCAAAAAGTAACAACCGAAGACCTTGTGAATAGGATACTGACGGCACTTTAGAATAACAACAGTATTGTCAGAAGTAATGCCTATCAAGCTCTTGGAAAAATCAGTGAAAAAGAACCAACCTATGACGCGACCAGTAGGATGCTCACTGGACTTGCGGATAAGGATCCATATGTGAGATCAAAAGTATGTGAAGTACTCGGAGAAATGGATAAAAAATTAGCAATTAATGACGTTATTAATGGACTGGTCACTGCACTTGAAGATCAAAATGCGCTTGTCAGATTGAAAGCAAGTGAGGCCCTTGGGCAAATGGGTGAAAATGTAGCAACTAATGAAGTAATCACTGGGCTGCTGGCTACACTTGAACACGAGGACTGGAATATGAAGCGTGCAGCATGTGCGGCTCTTGGAAAAATGGGTGAAAAAGCAGTAACTAAAGCCGTGATCAGCGGGCTAGTGGCTACATTTGGGAGAAAGAATGAGATCGATCATGTTCCAAGGAGTGCGTGTGAAGCTCTTGGAAAGCTTGGCGAAAAAGTACCAACCGATGACGTTGTTAATGGGCTGGTAATTGCCCTGGGGGTCGACTCAATGTCTGTTAGAGAGGCTGCAAGTGAAGCTCTCGGGAAAATGATCGAAAATGTAACAACAGATGATGTCATCAACGGACTGTTGAGTGCAGGCCGTCGTGTCATTGGTTATAGTAGAGCCTATCAAACACTTGAAAAGATTCTGCTTTCATCTACGATGTTAGCACGGTTATCCTCTGATACAGTTTTGAAACTTTATCAAAGTATGAAAGATGATCAGTTAGGGAACTTGAGAACTATTCCTGCAGACAAATTTATGAAGGTGTTTCTACACACAAGAAATACTGCGTGGCTTTCTGTAGTAGCCATCTTTGCACTTCTGCAGGGAAATACTGTCACTGTTATTGGCGACACTTTTGTACTGTATGGAACTGAAGAACCACTACAGGTATTCGTTCATGATGCAGAAGCAGAACTTCGTAAAGAATTGGTCGAAGCCTTTATTCATCAAACGGACGAACTTCAATCATTATCGAATCTTTGTACAAAATCGCAAGTGGTGTCTTCTGTATGCATGCTTATGTAACAGTGTTCATCAAGTATTATACATGTATGACTGTATATATTTTCATAAGTGTGTAATTGTGAACTACGAACTGTTTTTCATTGCTTTATTTTTATTCTCTTTGACAAGACACTTATAGTACCTATGTATGTATGTAGTGTATGGTTTTCCTTTTTAAACTCTCTTGCAAATCTTAACAATATCGAATTTTCGATTATCAAACATCTATAAACATCATAGAAGTGCAAATGACAATTAGTCGATGGAATGCTGACTAAAAGTCCCTCAGCACCTTGAGTATTATTAATATTTCAAGATAGTGTATCAGAGTTGTGCACAGAACACCATATTGTAGCTGGGATAAATTTTAATCGCTTGCTATTTCCATTTTTACTTACGAAAATGAAACTACCTAATAGCTTTCCACAATTGAAAAAAAAAGTAAAATATCTCGTATAGATGACGATCTGATTGTAAATAGCCATTTACTGCCATTAAATATTCATGATCATCACGATGATCAAGATTCAGGTTCAACTGATAGTTCTATCAATTCTAATATTGAACTTTATAACACTGAATCGATGAACGATAATATCTGCACTGAGCTTAAATCAAGGGGAGAACATCGTACTTTGATGAGTAAAGGTACGATGGTTCTCCCTTGATTGAATTACTCTACTGATACGATGCTCCAGTTCCGAATGTCCCTCAGAGCTGCTACTCACGAAATTATGCATATAGAGTTTTCAATGATTTCTGGTTAATCCCTCTCTATGCATTATTACCGAAAGTCACGATGTGAGATGTGTGAACATACGGATCAATGCAATGAGAAATATTAATGCAGAAAGAAACATTGGAGGCCTAAATAAGTCTGACAACCAGCTCATTGAGATTGTTCTTGTTCAAGTTGCTTTACATTCCATTAGCAGCTTTCCACTGAGTGTACAAAAGATTTATTCTACTGGCACTACAAATATTGTCAAGAATGATCTACAATAGAAAAGTTCTGCTGTCAACTGGCCTTACTTATTTGCTATTTCAATTGTTAACGTCCATTCTACCTGAACGTGGCCACGAATTCTATGTTTCGCAAATCCGTACGTCAGGTGATCCATCGCGACCGTAGTGATCCCGTTGTTCCAAATGTTATTATATCAAGAAGAGAACATTTGTTCAGTTATCGTATTATATTGTGAGTATCACAAAACCTCGCTCATTGAACACTCCTCTTTTATGGACACCTTTTAATTCTGAATGTGAACACATTTTGTTTTTGAGCCTCTCAATATTTGTATGCATTGACCGTGCCAATGTGAATATTGATAGAGGACACCACTTGCATAAACTACATGATTGAACCTGCTGGGATAAGGATGCAGGGTGTGGGTGTCCGGTATGGGGCATAGGAAAATATTGAGTTATGATTGATGGTTGATCTGAGCTTCGAGATCAAGCATTTGTGGAGAGTAACTGTTATAGGAGCATTATTTTCTAAGCATATAGAAGAATCTAAGTTTACCTACAAAATTCAGTAAAAATAAAGACATATAAACAGCAAAAAACAAAAACACGAGAGAAACACAAGCCTAGAAAAGTCACAAACAAGATCATTCACTGCTTTGATGGAAAGAAAATAATAATTACACCAGTGACAAATACATATATGCATATAGGCTGATTGTCGAGCAACAGAGAGAGAACCTGTTTAAAAAAAAACAAAGGAATGATCTTCCATCTATAATTAGATAAACTAGTATAAGCATGAGAAACACAACAATGATTCAACATTTTTCCAGCACACTGGATTACTTGATTCTTTCACGGATTCGCTCTCAAAACACTATGACGTATTTTGCTTATCTCTCCATTCTATTTGTTCGTCAACATCAAACAAACAATCCATATGGTAATAAGAAAATAGAAATATTTATTTTCTAGTATATAATGAAGGAAAAAAAAGAAGGTCTAATACAGTTTATTGATATAATTCAATAAGCTCATGAATATTGAATGTGCCGAACTGTGGGTGCTAACGTCATAGTTCCAGTTGAACGAAATCTATTGAGAAAAGAAAATTATAATAAAGCAACTTGAAAAAAACAAAACTAGAAATACCGTTTTCGTTTTTTCATAAAACATTTAGCTGAATGAAATAATCGACGATTTTGCAATCGACCAAATCCAATGGTAATTGGTCGAGCACGAGCACAAAAATGTTCACTTTGAATTTCAAGCCAAACACGATATTTTCCATTGATCAAGTCATAGATGGTTGCTTCATATGTATTTGCAGTATATTCGCCATGTAAACGAACTACATGTGTTGTCACATTTTCCGAAAGAATCTATCGAAGAAGAAAAAACAATTATTATTATTATTATTTACTTTTAAAAACTAATTAGATTCGTATGCGATTATTGATACTTTATATGCGATTATTTTTTCTGTTGGATCTTCCAATTGAGGTGGTCCCCAAGCCACAACAACTGTGCTCGATATTCCGTCATCTAAACGTCGAAATACGCCGGGTTTGATACCTGGCCAACTAAATTTAACACCACGTGACATTGAACTTGAGATGTTTTTATCATTACTCAATGCCTGAACATAAACTATATATTCTTCACAAGCTGAACCATTTGTCAATGTATATGTTAATTGATCATGTGAAAGAATTGCTACTAAACGACTATTGATATAGACTTTATAACCAACGATTGCCAGTTCTCCATAGCTTGGTGCTGGGCGCCATTCAAGCGTTACATGATCGTGTGTACGTTCGCTAAGTGAAAAAAAAAGAAAACGAAATATATTGTACTTCTATTAATAGATATCAAAGTCTGAAATTTTACAGGATAGAATGATCAAGTAAAAGTAAAAGTATCTTACCGAATTGCAACAATCGGTGCATTAGGTGGAGGACTCATTTGAACAGTATTTTTCTCTGATGAATATACTATTTCACTGTCTACATCAACAGCTACCACCATGATTGTATACGTAAAACCTGCTCGTAAATCTTGTATAACCTTTTAAAAAGAAATGAATAATTAATTTCTTTTGTTATTCTCGTTTATCTTACTGCATGTCGATTTCGTTTCGATACTCTCAAAGTTTGTACTTCGCCATTATTCAAACAAGTATAATGAACATAATAAGCAGCTATGTCTATCATCGGTATAAATGCTGTCCAATCAAGATGAAGTTTATCTTCGTTCATTGATTCAATTTGAACAGGTATTGATCGTGTTATATTTCTATTCAGTGGTTTTTGACTATGACTACTACTAGTGCTAGTATAGTATGTTGGCTGACTTGAATTTGTTGGTGGCGTAGTAAGAACTGATAATGTTTGTGACATCAGCGAATGTTTACGTTGAGGATTATTTGTAACAGCACATATATTAACTTCATAGGTTCGATTTACATTTGAGGGAATTTCCGCACGATGTAAATTGACTTTAATCATGTCGCTTGCTTGTTTACCTTCGATATATAATTGAAAACCAATGACAGGTATTCCATAGGATTTCGGTTCGCTCCATTCAACAACAAAACTTGTATCCGATGTTTTCACAAGCCATAATTTCGGTGAATCAGGTTCGCCTGGAATTGGCATTTTCAATTGTTGATATTGATGTCTTATGCCATCGTTGGTGACGATGATTATTTCAATAACATAAAAATGTTTTTCATCACATGCATCTATAGTAAATGATGTTTCTTTACTGTGGAAAATCTTTTGTTGAACACATAAATCTTTCGATGAATGCCATTTTAAAATAAAATGGGAAATATTGTCAAGATCCGATGCTTTCCAACGAACATTAATTTTCCCTAATGGTTTAACTTCATTTCGTTCTTCTGTTGTATTTTCTTTTGTGACGTGATGATGAAATTCAAATTTCGCTTGAAACGATTGAAGAAGATCTAAATAAAAATTCACTAGAATTAGCGTTTCTGCATGCTGCTATTTTACCGTCATTGTCTAACATTCGAACACGTAGTTTTTTCGATGATGTTTCTTCCGGTTCATCGTCTTTGCCATTTTCACCAATAAACTAAATAGAAAAGATGAAGAATTAGAAAATTGACATAAATATTCACTTACAATATCATTAACATATTCACTTTGAATTGAAGTTTGTACAATTAATTGTACTTTATATTCTTCGCCTGGTAGACATTCAGTCAACGTGCATTGATATTGATCTTTATTTAACGTATTATATTTTTTTCCATTAATTTCAACTCTATAGCCAAGTAAATTTCTATGTATTTTAATATTTTCATTTAATTTTTCCGGGTGATCAATAATAGAAAATGTATTCGGTTTATTCCAGGTTAAATCAATAGCATTTGTTGTATAACCCGTTAGATAGACTTCTGGTTTTTCCGATAAACCCGGCAGTTGAAAACGTACAGATGTTATTTCGATTGTTGTTAAACGAATTTCCTTTCGACTGGCTTCATCGCTTTCATCTTCAAGATTTATTTTAATACTGAAATAGGAATCAAGCGAAATTTTGTACTGGCCAAATGATAATATTCCCGGTATAGTCGCTTGTATTGTATTACTATCGAGTTCAACAGATTTTTCGATCTCTTCATTTTGTAATTTCCAACGTAGGGTTTGACGGAGAAATTTCGTTGATCCATACGCTTTCGGTAGTGCCCATTGAAGTTGTATAGATTGAACAGTCGCACTAGAAATGAGTATTTGACTTGCTGGTTCGCAGCCGCTAGTTGTAAATAGTAAACTTTTATTTGTTAACCAATAGGATGATTTTAATTTGTTAGGTAATTTTGAAATATCATGCAGATGTATTTCATTTAAATATTCATCTGTTATAGCATAGATCGTTAAATTGTAATGTGTACGCTCGATTAAATTTGGTAAAATGAATTCCGTTGAATCTGGTGTTAGATCAAGAATTACTTCATGTTTGTTTTTCTTTGCCGATATCGATTCACAATAGACACGTAATGTTATGATTTCAGCGAGATGTTCAATAAATGGATCAAAACCTATACGAATAGTTGTATTCGTACAAGCGATTATCTTCAGATTTGATGGTGCATCAGGTGGAGCGCCTGTTTCAAATTTTAAAATTTTCGATGTCGCTGAGACTATATAGGTTTCTAAAAAGCAACGAAAAAAAACATAGATGGAGACAAGAGTAATCAAACGAAATCGATACCATTTGTTTTTGGGTCAGATCGTTTTTTAAATGCTTCTAATTGAATTTCATAGGTTGTTGCTGGTCGAAGATCTTTTAAATCCTGACTGATTTTATCTTCTAAAAATTAGAATATTTACTAACAAAATACAAAAATGATATTCTTTCACTGCTTCGCTTTCCGCCAAAAGTTTCTTGAATAGGAAAATTTTTTTAAAAAGAACTTACTTGGTATTTGAATAACAGTCGCTTGATCACGTTTTTGGTTTTTACTATTCCAAATAAATAATTTATAATTATCTGGTAGTGCATTTTTATTGGAAACATTCTCAGCTGAAAACAAAAATTTCTTAAATAGTGAATATCTATTCTATTAACTTACTGGCAGACCAACAAACGACAGCTGAATGACCTGAAATATTTTCAATCCAAATTTTCGAAGGAATTTGTACTAAATCGGTAAAATCAACATCAAGTTTCGGTCCCGGTAAAAAGTAGATATGTAGTTCGGGATCGTATTCTAAATGAAAGGCTACCATTTTTAAGAGAAAAGCAAACGTAGATTAATCTAACCTTCTCCTAGTTGAAATGGATTGCAACCGAGTTGATTAGTTATGGGTACAATTTGTAAGGAATATCGATTGCCAATGTCTAGATCATGAATTGAAGCTCGTCGTTTATCAATTGGTATTGTTTTCGAAATAGCACGGCCATTTTTTAATATTTGATATCCCTTTTAAAATTCATATTTCTAAGCAGAAAATAGAATAAATCGACTAACTCACAGTCACTTGAGTATTTCCGGAATCAGTGGTCGGTTCCCAAGTAATATCAATACCATTTGGATACATTCGTTCTATACGTGGTGGAGCACCTATTGGTGGCGCGAGACATTTTAATAGTAATTCATTCGATGAATTCGATTCAATTTCACATTGATAAGCATAATCGTCAAGTTTTCTATGTTCAACAAACGCTTTTACATTGATTAGATATATTTGATCAATTTTTAATTTAGTAAATTCATGTTTAAATGAATGCCGTCCGTTGGGATCGATTTCACAATGAAGTTTTCCATTGAGAAAAACTTTGAAATATGTTATTTCATCGTTTATATTTTGATCGATTTTCCATTTGATACCAATTGAAAATGGTTTTTCAGTTTGAAACGATTCAACAGTCAATTGTTGGGGTCGCCGTGGACAAATGATATGTACGGATTCAGATAGTTTCTCTTCAAGAAAGTCTGGATAACATGTAACTGACACTTGTATATCGTTTCTTGTACCTAAACATTTATTCTTACGTATGTGATGGATAAGCAAAAAATTTTTTGCAAGAGTGAAGTGGGAGGAAGTTTACCCCCGTGCCCACACCTTTACTTCTTGCGAAAAAAATATAAGCGTAGATTTACCTGATTTTATATTTTGTAATTCATATTCATACTTCTTAGGCGGCAGAATTTCAGCAGCTTTTCCATTTAAGATAATACGATAACCTTTAATCAATGACTGATTAACAGAATCATCGAATTTCCATGACACAGTTGCCTTAAAGAAAATGATTTGTTTTTGAAAGTCTTGTTTTCTCGATGAAAAAAACAACTAAATTACCATTTGTAATCCAATACGTATTACTTTAAGTACTGGTCGTGGCAATAGGTCGATTAATGGAATAACTCGGTCTACTTTCAGTTCGCTTGATTTTGAAAAGTATTCGGTATCTGTTGATTTTTCTATTGTAAATAATGCTCGAACAAAGACTCTACGAACAACAAACGAAATAAGATGATTAAATTAATGTTTCTATTGATTTATTACATGTAATCGAAACGATCGGGAATGTCTTTTATTTCCAATGGAGAACTCGATACATGCCAAATATGTTCTATGTAATCATCTTGCTGAAAACTATTTTATGAAATAATTAAATTTGAGACTTTTTACGAATGAAAAACAAAACAAATTACTTTTCATCACTCTTGATCTTGTCAGAAAATTGTTGACCGCGTATATGAACTTCATACATAGTTATACATGGTTCTGCTGGTAGTGGCCGATCTAAACCCCATTTGATACGAATTGAAAATGTGCTTACTCTCTCGACACTTAATTTTGGAATAGGAATCTCTTCCGGTTCAATTTTCTAGAATAGGAAAGCGATTTTTCTTAATAAGGATAAACAATGATATCAAATGATTCTACTTTTAGTACAATTGGAACATTGAATTTCTGTTTAGAAAGAAGAAAAAACGAATAAGTTGGCAAAAACGAAATAAAGATTATTTCTAAAACATACAAGAATATTCGATAGATAGACTTCCTGATCTTTTTCTTTTGGTAAAACAAGTAGATAACATTCATGTTCGCCTGGCCGAAGCTTCATTTGAACTTTCGGTTCATCATCCGGTGATATCACTTCTCCATATTGTTCTCCATCGACCATAATCTCAAAAAATACATCAGTAGAAAATAATTTTTCGATAAATCGTATCTTCGTACTCGATAATTTTCAACGAACTCTGCAATTGATGGCGCTTGTTTCATCCAAGATAGAGTACCACCTTCTCCGATTAGGTCAAATGATATTATTGGCACAGCATTTCGTAGACCATAGGTCTAAAGAAGACATGAGTTTTGTTTTTGAAAATGTTTTCATGAAAAATTATATTGCTTACAATTGGAAGACTTTCGAATTTACGTTGTGGTTCTGGACGTCGTTCGTCAAAATGATCAAGATGAATAACTAGAAGAAATAAATGTGGAAACTTCGGATTTCATCCGAGAGTTATGTGTGCTGCAAAAGGTGCATGGGACATATGAGCTATTCTAGAATGTCTGAACACCAAAATTATCATGAGAAATTAGGCAATGTGATTTCTGGATGCAGTTTTTGTGCATTTTGAGACGTTTTTCAGGCGATGCTTCGTTAGAAAGCTACGATTTAGTTCAAAACTAATATCAGATTCGGAATCAGCGTTAAAAATTGAGTCGATTTATATATGTTGTGGATAATTCTGAGAAAGATTTGTTTTTTGAAAAAAATCCCTGTACCCCTCCCCAGGGATGGTCTGGCCAAAAATGACAATTTTTTCGATAACTCAACCATTTCTTGAGGGATCCTTCTCATCTTCGAACTCGATCGAGACATTCATGAGATTGAACTGTGTGGAAAATTTCATCACGATCTGACTCTCCTTTCGAAAGTTATCGTGCCTACGGACGGACGGATGGACACACTGACCGATTCTAGAGTGTACTCACTTTTTGAGTACATAAAAAAAAGGAAAACATGATGCAATCTATTCAGTAAATCTTCTATTAGCCAATTGTATTGCTTTGTCTAAACGATAATTCACTGGGAAAGAAGAATATTTCTTTTTCTAAGAATCGATCGATCTATGACCAGGATAGTACTTTTGAAATGAATTGAACTGAAAAGTTTTCTATGAACAAATGTTGATTCTTACTTTCGACACGCATATCCGATGGTGGTGATTCTGTATTAACTGTGATATAAGCAAAATATCGATCGATTAATTGTTCTTTCAATGGCATTTCCATCGGTGGATTAACAGCAATAACGTTTGATTTTCGAATTTCATTAGTGTCTATAAAATCGATAGCTTATTATTTTGTTGAATTCATAAAAAGTTCAAATTACCTTTGACTAACGCTTCGACATGTATAAGATATTTTTTCCGTTGTTGAGCGCCATGAAATTGAATACCGAAAAAATCATTAAAATCTTTTTCATTAATCTAAACGTTGAAAACAATCATACAAGAAAAAGCATTTTGATAAAATAAGGCAAACGTAACTTACAGTCCTTGTTTCAATATTATCAACATAAACAACATATTGACTAATATGATCGCCAATATGTGCCCACATTAAAAATATTATATTTTCTTCATTCGATACAGCTAAACTTATTAAAGGTGCACCACCGACAATTTCTCGCTTGATTTCAAATGCCTATTCAATAGACAAAAACAAAAAGGCGAACTCGTTTTCTTTCTTTCTTTCTTTCTTTCTTTCTTGTAACGAAGATCATAGTATACTGACTCGTTTATTCGATGAAATAGGTTCTGTATCAGTCAGATTTTCCTTGGGGAAAGCCATTACATGTATTTCATATTGTTCACCGCCAGCAAAACCTTCTGCTGAAAATTGAGCATCGGTGGGTGCTAAATTGACTCGTTGTGCTACATCATCAACGTACAATTCAAAATGATCAATAAGATCCGTTGAACTTATCGGATCAACTTCGATTTTTACAAACAATTTATTTGGATATTGAATTGAAGCTGTGATCATTATATTAGTATTTTTCCATATTGCGCGAAGTTCCTGTTGAGCGCAAATGCTATAGAATCTTCAATCATCAAAATAAACTTACATTCAATGCTGCAAGTTCTTCACTTTCCATAACAAAAGTTGGACTAAAATTATGTTCAACATGAATGAATAACTTTTCATTTTTCAAAGTTAAAAAAATCGTTTTTATACAAACCTGCTTGTAATAATAGCACTCGATAACTTTTCATTTTCAGTTGCATAAGCACGTAAAACATGTAAACCTGTTTGAATAAATGGTATGCCTGTATTCGAATTATATGTCTAAAATTTTAATTAATTAGAATAGAACGACATGCTAAAACGCTTTTTTTCTTCATTACATGAACATTCTTAAAAGGTCGTGTTGGTATTGAACCGTCAAGAGTATAATATACAGTTGCCTCTTGACTTGGGCATTTTAAATGTATTTGTGTGCCATATTGACTTACTATATCAATATCTTCGATTAATTGAGGTTTTACTAATTGTTTTTCTAGAAAAAAAAATTAAATTAACTCATAAAGATTGAAAACAAAATATTTACTTTGATTTCGAATAATATCATCTGAATAGACAATTACCGTCGCTGTATTAGTAAAACGATTCGATCGAATAGTGAACTTTCCACATTGCTCAAAAGTATACAGATGATGCATATCATTAACATATTGTTCAATCGATCGGTCAATAAGATTATCCTGAGAAAGAAAAATTTGTTTTCGATTTAATAAGAGGCGAAATTACTTCATTGATGCGTCGTTTATTGTCATCGGATTCCACAGAAATTCGATGATATTGATCAGCACTTGATAATATCCATGAAACAGTATTATTCTAAAAAAGGTTTCTTCGAAAAGAAAAGTTAACAAAGAAAAACGAACAATCTACCTGAGCAACATATAAAACATTGGGGGAAAAATCATCGTTTGCAATAAGAAAACAAGTTTTACTAAACGGTGGATCAATAATAATAGTTGATATCAGACGATCCTTTGAAAGAAAATTACATTTTATGTTTTATTTATTTCTAAACATAATTTACCTCATCGGAACCAGAAACTCGTTCAAATTCTAAGAAAAAAGAAACAAAAGAAATTGTTTTTTGGGCAATCTACGCATCTGATATTCTACCTGGATTAGCAAAGAAAAATGTCCCAAGCATAATACATTCAACAGCAAGACATTGACGATTTCGACCGGCTACAGCACGATCATGACATGATACTAGATCCTCTAAAGTTTCATTAGCACGTAATTGTATAAGACCATAGCGAATTATTTGTTCAAATTGCCAGACAACAAAATCGTTTATATTAGTTATTATTGCGTCAGGATCAAAGTCACTTGAACGAATTAATTTATAATGAAAACGAATTTCAGGTAAAACAACAATGGATAATGGTGGTGATTTCGAAGCTTTTTTTTCTTGATCAAGAACAGCATCGGTGGAAAAATAATAGATTCCAGTTTGTTGAAATTGTTGCATAAAACAGTTCACACTGTTTAATTGTGGTTGAAATATTGGTTTATTTACGTCTAAATAATTTCCATATTCATCGGTTCGATGGATATTGACTAAGTTTTTTGATCTTGAATTAAACCAAACTTGATCATTTCGATTGATAACTAGAGTATGGGGTTCAAATGTATTTCGTTCATTAGATGTAACGCGATGATTCTATTTATAATATTCAAAAAAAAAACAAGGAACCATAGATAATCAAAAAAGAAGTGTTTCTTCTTACAGTAACAGCACTTTCAACGATCGTACTGAGAAGAACATCATCACGACTATCAGAATAAGCGAAATTGTAAAGACCATGTTGTGGAATATTCAACACAAATGCTTCGCATGTATGAAAATATTGACGAAAAAATGGCTCAACTTTGACACATTTGTGCATAGCTAAAATTATAATTTCTTCAATATATGTCAGATCATTTTGTTTCTAGATATAAACCGCAACACAATGTCAAAATACATGTCGGACAATATTTTCTTAAAATAACTTCAATCTTATAAATAAATCTACTATTCAAATAGATCCAAAGGTCGACCCAACGTCCTAGACAAATTAGAAGATTTTTGCAATCATTTTCTTGCAAATTTTCCGAGCAAAACAACTTTAGTCATTTTTCTATCGTATCGAATAATAAATAGCATCATAAACTCTGCTATAGCGTTTCCTATTGAGTATTATTCATAAGTGCGCACTAGAGAAAGAGAATAATATTTAGCCAAAAAACCTAGCAAGTGCTTGAATAGCATAACATGCACTTCTATGCCGATAGTTGATTAGAATTTGCAAACTTTTTGTTGTTGCAAAAAATCTATTTATAATTCACTTACAACAATCGAATATTCCAGTAAGACCACCAGCAGTATCTGGCACAACAGACGAATTAGCATCGATAGTAATTAATAGCGGATCATCTTCTGATTCCGACATTTTCCATTCGAATTGAATAAAATCGTATGTATTCATTTTTAAAACTGAAATACAAAAAGAAAAAAAAAGAATTCTTTGATATTCGATCTATTTCGAACTTACTTAATTGATCGCCGAATATTGGAAATGAATGGATGTTAATTTTTGGTGCAACAACAATTGTTCCGATTTGGTTTGTTGCTGTTTTAAAACAAAAAATGCCCGTTTCATCAAATCTATGTATCATATAACCACGAGATGAAGGTTCATTTGGCCAGAAAAAATCTTTTCCTACTGTTTTCATCTAAAGAGGAGAGTTACAATTTTTTTAAATATTATTCCGAAACTTTTTTTTTCTTAAAAGACAAACTTCAATTGACGTTTGATTAGTTTGATCGACGGTAAAAGGTTGAATTTGTTGTACAGACTGTTTTTCTGTTGTATTCCATTGAAATATAATAGAATCATGTTGTTCAATAGAAATAATATTTGGTTGAATATTATCATTGGTGATATCGATGTAGCTGACTTTGAATTTACTTTTAACAATACAGGCAATTATATCATGAATTCGATTCGTGTCAGTTAAACGAAATAAAAATGATGTACCGAATTCAGTAAATGTTTTTCGAAAGCATCCTTTTGGTTGAGGACGACTTATTGTTAATTCTGACGGTTGCTCAACTGTATAAAGCCCACCAGATATTGGACAATATTTTTTTTCTTCAATACGATAACCATTACCACGTTTCGATGACCATTCAAGTTCAATTGTATCACCTTTGTGTAAAATTAATTTTTGACTTTCTTTTTCATCACTCAACGTAAATTTGATGTCACTCTTATGAACGATGAGACAGTTCTTTTCACAATTTTCTACGGAACATTTTCGTGACTTAAAAACTACTTGGCGCTTTGACGATAGAATTATACAAAAATATAATTCGATCTTCGGTTGATGAAGAGCTAATGAAAGTGAAATTCGTCTATTCCTTTTTCTTGTAGTATTATTTATATTATACAATTCAAAGCCATTATGTATTCTGTAGTAGTCATTTTCATCCTTATAAACTTGAAATATATCATATTCATCTGTTTTATCAGTTTTAAATTCAACTGTATCGCCACTATCAATACGGTCAGGCATTTGTTCAGGAAATGAACCATTAGTTATGTCTATAACATAGGTCATATCTGCATCATCATCATCCGATTGAATGCTATCATTCAGTCTATGACTCTCTGACGAAGCCATGAAACTTGAAGCTAAAGAAAGCAAATTATTCTTAAGTTGTTTTATTTAAGTTTTTAATTAAAAAGAAAGTAATTACAAAAAGAGAAGTGGTGCGTAACAAAACAAATTCTATATATGAGATCAATATTTGCACGTTCGTTGTTCTACCTACACAAGTCTCGGATTTTCTTCGTAGATCATTTTTGTTTCGAAAGTGATTATCCAATATCCATAATATCAGTGCACAATCGAAAAAACCGAAGAGAAAGTATTCTGAAAGAAAATGAAATAAACATCATGCAAGAAGAAAAAAAACGTGCGTATCAGGATTAAGACTAGATAAAATATTCAAGATCGACATGCATACATGCTCACACAGGTTGAAATAAACTTCAAACCTTTGTTTTATTTGCGATTTGTGTGTTGTTATGATGTTTTGTAAAAAAGAAAAGAAAATGTTTTTCGATTTCGCCGGTTTTCTGTTTGTGATTACTAATTCAATGTATTACAGTTTACATTCGAGTTGCTAAGCGATCAACGAAACAACTTATGTTTCGTTATCTTCAATAATTATTACCGTGAATAATATTCTTGAGATATTCTGTTTATATTGTACTCTAATTTTAATTTTCTTATCTCGTTTTAATTTCTACGCAGATGGCAGTGTTGATCGATTCTTTTTTCAAAACACTTTACAGGATTCTTTAGGTCTAGTTTTCAATTTTAAGGATGTGAGTGTGCAAATAAAGCGAAGATCTATATAGATCTACACGCAACAAGCGAGATGTTAGTAATATAAAAATGTTCTTTTTGTAATCCTACTTTTGTCTATGTCAGTTTTATTGTATTTTCTGACTGAAAAGCCATTGAAAAGTGATAATAGTAGTCGGAGGACATGGTGCAGGTCATATAAATCAGAGGTGGGCAACGTACTTGAGAAAGTTTGTACTTACCCAGCTCTGATATAAATCTTGTTCTACTTAAAACATAAGACCACTCAACATCTCAGCTACCGTGAGAACGAAAAAAATGCTCTTTTTATTTTATCATTTTTCTTATTTTTATCATATACATAAATATGCAATGCAATTGATATGCGAAGATAGAGCAGCTTTCAAAATAATTACATATTTGTCTTTTTTCTATTTTACTTAGTTTAAACTTTTCTCGCACACGAAAACGATGGGAATGAGATTTTTCACAGACAAAGACTGAAGGTATCACATAGGATTATATTGTTGTTGGTTCTGGTTCAGCAGGTGCTGTCATGGCTAATTGTCTGTCGGAGCAAAGTGATAAGTGCGTGCTTCCGATTGAAGCTGGAGGTGTCGATACAAACCGCGACATACAGACACCAGCTGCTTGGCAGGTAAAATAATTTTGAGGAGAAAATTACTGGAGAAAATTTTTCAATTTAAAAGAAAAAACCTTTTCCGAAAAGTCGATTTCGAGAACTTTTTTCAATGAACGGCATTTTGTAACTTACAGGGGAAATATGTTTGTTTTTCGTTTCTAATGGTAACCTGCAACGAATTGATATTGATTGGCAATATAAAACTACACCTCAAATTTATTCACACTTCGCTTGCATGAATCAGCAAAGTAATTGGCCACGTGGCAAAGTCTTAGGAGGCTGTTCGTCTATAAACTATATGCAATATGTTCGTTGCGATCCACACGACTACGATACTTAGCAATCACCACAATGGCCATTACAGAACACAAAAAAAGGTACTAGCATTAAAAAAAAAGAGTGCATGAAAGTTGCTATATTTATCGATCATAAAATGGACTCAAATTTTTTTTTACATTGATTCAAAACGATAGACCCGCATAGAGAGATGCAGAATTGCAAGCTCTATCGCTGCAGATGATTCAAATTAGAAAGTAAGGGGTGGCAGATTTGCGGTCTTATCCGTCGGTGCCCTTAAGTCGATGTCAATAGTTGGATCACCAACACGAAGATTTCCTCTTTTTTCACGATTATGTCGAACATAAAGAGATAAATTATGAAATTCATTATCATCTGCATATAACTGATGGGCACTTCGTAATATACTACATTGAAATAAGGAAAAAACATTGTTAGCCTGTGGACTAACCAAACCTTTATTGTACCATCTTCGATCCGAACACAACACTACACTGACTCTCTCTCGAACACGAACACATCCCTAACCTGGTCCATTGACCAATGGCGAGATAGAAGAAGAAGAGAGAGAAAGGAGGTAGTGTACGTAGATATCGCCACTACCTAACAAACATTTAGAATTAGAATGAAGTCGAATCGTTATTTTAAACCACATTGAATGTCATCGTGTGTTGCATCTTCACCTAGCAATGTCTTGATTAAGTTGGCTTGTAAATCAGCTATGATATCCATCCAATCCATGTCGTTTCGATCTTCAGTACTAGCTAATAATTATTGTGTTTGTTGACTAAGTCTGATTTCTTCTTCTTGAATAAATAATTGAAATACTTGTAGTCGCTTTTGGATTGATAATATTCATGGATCATTGGAAACATCTTCATTATCGTCTTCACCGACGTCGTCATCAACAGCCTCTGATAGTATAATGTTTTTTAAATGTGGCACACCATTCGCTACGGTAGAGCGTCTTGTTTCAGAGAATAACGCTGAGAGTAAAGCTTGCGCTCGTAAAACGGAATTTTGCAGTTCCCTCGGTGATAAATATGCGAGATGATTAGTATGTTCGAATTCAAATGCAAGAAATCTTTTTATTGCTTTGACTGGTTTGCTTGGTAATTTATCAAAATTTTGTCGACCGCTTGTAAAATGAAACATACCACCGCGTAAACGTAATACTAACTGAAGCGTACTCTCCTTTTGGATGTTGTAATCGGAGAGAGTTCTGTCGTCTTCTAGTTGTTTACCCGCACATATTAAACGCTGTTGAGCTGGGGGAATACCTTCTTTATATTGGATGTATTGTTTGAGAGTAAAAATATCGGTCGAAGAATTCACTTCAAAAGTGATTACCTGTCCAGTAAGAGTTTTCACAAAAAGTTGATAATTCAACGAGGCTTCTCCAAAAACGCTCTATAAAAACAAAACTTATTTTTTACTGAAATAGTAGACAAAATTATTAATTTACCTCTCCCAATACTTTTACCATGATGATACAATTATCTTCATATAATTTATATGAGATGACAGTGCCATCTGATTTGAGTCTTTGATCTTCATTCCAACATGCTGTACTTATTTGAGTATCTACATTTAAAATTAGTAACTTCAATTCTATATTTTTTAATTTTTGCAGTTTTTGTATTTGCATTTTAAGGTTTTCTATATTGTCAGTCAGAAGAACTGGCAGTATAAATGAATGCGGTAGTCTATTGTCAGAATATATAATCGATATGTTGACTTCGCCATAAGTAATAAATCGATAAACATCATCATATTCGGATACAGACGAATTGAGCTGATCTTCACTCAGTGGTGAAATAACGTTTTCATTCATTTTTCCAATTTTGATCCATTTTTGCAAGTATTTTGGAACGTAATCGTTCTTATAGTTACTGAATATAGTACTGATGATTTGGTGATCAAAATATTCATTTGTTGTTGGATTTCCATAAGGATCAATAAATGTTAATGAACTTGATTTGAATTCTTTCCTTATTTTCTTGTTATTTCTACATTGATCATCAATAAATTTCACTATTTCAATTATTTGCTGTTGAATGGCTTGTATATGAAAGACTAAGTCTTCGTAAATAAAGGCAGTTGACAATTTAGAAATAGCAGCAGTCGACGTTGCTTTTGATGTGGTTGCATTATTGACTGAATTGTCCATCTTTGAACCAGTGGGTATCTGAAAATAAATATAGAATTTGAACTAGATGAATTTTGTTTTCAAATTCTTTTAACACGTGTTATGAGTTTGTGTCGTTATATAAGATTATCATCCGTCGTCTTTTTCTCCAAAAGAAATTCGGAAACTGGAGGTTTGTTTCATCTATAGGGACCGTAAGATGTTGTCTTTTTGAAAAATTCTAGTTTTTAAATGAGAGAATTTATTCCAATGACTCATTGAAAATTCAAGCTGCATTCTCTTTTATGGGCGAACATATTCCTTTTTATCTTAATGATAGTAGAAGTAGTGTTATAAGCTCGTCAATACGAATGAATCACCTTATATAACTAATTGCAATGATTAGTTCTCAAAAGCATATTAAACGCATTCTTATTGGCAAACATCTAATGAGAGACGAGACTAGTTAATAATTACCTTCAAAGTTGTTTGGAATGAGTTCGTGATAATGGTGGACAACTCGTAAGTTGTTTGTCGAACGGATTATTTCTCTACCTATGGAAAATTTGTTCTCACTTCTTATTATGCGTCGTGCATGAATGAGTGAAAATAAGCAACAATAACAGCTATTATATACTTCGCATAGGGATTTTTTAAGTGAGGAAATGGTTGGATTTTTCTTTCACTAATAAGACAATGCGTCATGAAGATTCATTGATGTCATCTCCGAAAATGGGCCGCCGTGGTTGAGTGGATATGTTATTCGACACACATTCACAAGTGATCCGTGGACTGGTGAACAGTAAATAAGCGTTCGTTTCTAAAACTTAGGCAATGCAACACACTTATGCATTATATTATACACACGCGTTCTGCGTATAAAACCTGACTTAAATATAACGCATTTTCAATTTTATGATGAAAAAAATACATATATTGGGTTTTTATTTTATTTTTTGTATAAAAGAGCCATCATGGTTGAGGTTACGCCAATCGCAACGTGTCTTGAAGAAGGATAAGCTATTAGAAAGAATATCAATGTGTGTGACAGTTTCATTCTTTTTCACATCGTTGAATTTTTTCGTGAGTTTAATATAAATCTCTATGGATAATCTTCGATTTAATTTTTATATTATAACTTTTCAAATAATTCAATTTTATTATTCTCTCATCGAATAAAACAGTTTACCAACACTAACAAGAGATGTGTTCACTGAAAAGATGTTGTAATCTAAAATTTTTTTAGATTGAATACCAAGTTCGTTTCTATAACTTTGCGTCAAATTATAACGTTGTGAAACAAGAGATAAATAGAAAAAAATTAGGTCGGGTTTCAAATGAAGCAAAAAAGCTGTTATGGATTATGAATATTTTTTTAATTATGTATAAATGAAGGAAGGTTGGCTGGTAAAAAGCCAACTACAGCACCACCATGAGCTACTAGATTAGGAGACCTCTCAAATATAAAGATTCATCTAAAGGTTAATAAGCCACAAGGATTACCTGAATAAACAGTACTCATTACATGTATCGGTACCATGCTAAGCCTTCTCAGTGAATCATACAAAATTAGTGACATCTATATTATGTTTTTATCATTAAACACAAAATCTTTTTGCATATTTCTTAGTTGGCCTTTTTTAGTTGGAAATAAATTAGAATCTTAATTCGTAGTGCGTGTCTATGTAGTAAGTGTAGCTCAGAAACAAATGCATGATACGACATCAATCCGTTACACCAGACTACAGATCAAAGGTGCTGTGTTCAAACCACAGTATCACCAACCATGGAATAACCCTGAATAAGTTACTAACGGCGAATTGTCCCGGATGACTCATCCGATAGCGTATCGATTATATCATTAGTCAGTATGCAGAGTCAAAACAATAACTTCAACATAGATGTCACGGCCACGTGATTCTATGATGCTCGCCAACCGATATCATTAACGGGGAAAGCGTTGGACGAGTGGGGTGCAGATACCATCGTCTGTAAAAGAGAAAAAAACGATAGAGCCTGGCTGCTTGTGGACTCTTTAGTGCCGGCCCCAACGGGCGATAAGCCTATGGGAGATATTATTATTATAATATTATTATCTCCGAAAATGGGGACTCACGAAAACAGATTGACAAAACTATATACTTAGTCTTTCAGAAACCAGTTCAAACATGAAACTCTATAGTGCCGCTAGAATTATACTTTGAATCTTTTATTTTTCAGAAGAGAAAATAAATAAATATCTTACGGTAAGAGCAACATGCTTTCATGCACATGGTCTGTATGCCATCGAAAAGAGAAAATTGCATAATATCAGTAGTTTTTATGAAACGTTTATTGATTATGATTTTTCTTTTTCTTAGTTGGCACTTATTCGAATAAAAACTCGATTCAGTCATTATATCGAGAACATTAAAAAATGATTTTACTCTAACATAATTATAAATAATCAACGAACTAATTCATAAAATAAAGTTTTTCAAATCATAACAAATACAACCATAGTTCAAAGAAGTTCGAATAGAATTTCAATACGAGCAACAATGTATTTTCCAAGGCACGATCTAAGTACTAGCTGATAGATACTGATGGATATCAGGATACATACCACAATGCTATATCCAGAGCTTTCGTCATAGTATTTGACCAGAAATAAGTGCAAGAACAATCAGCAAGTATGTTCCACAAAAATATACAATGCTACAATCTCGCTAGAAAATAAGAATTGTGCATGTGTAACTGTGTTTCACATTTTAATCCTATTCAGATTCTGATACCGAATTTATTTATTCGGGCGACCTGTAAAAACATGATTCGTGGATAGGGTTTTATTTCAGAGAGAAGTTTACTAGATAAGTTTTAATTTGAAAAAGTTCATTTCTACGTTGCTAAAATATGCATATCAATTCTTAATTGCCGTTACTGATGAAAAAGTAATTAGTGAAATAAACGCTGAGATGCATCAGTCTTTTATCAATCAGATAACACAACATGAATGCAACTCTACTTACAACTATTCCACAAAAGGAAAACGTTATGTTTAAATGTATTTCAAGTGAATTTTATTAATCTCAATTTACAAACATAAAACATAAAAAGAACTGCTCTGGAAATAATGAATTATATCATTGTGATACTGGAAAGAATTACATACATCAATTTTTTGTCTGCATCATTAAAATGCTTTCAACGAAAAAAATCATTTTTTTCCTTTTCAATATCACAATAACATCTTATCATTATTTCTGAGAGCAACAAAAACACTTTATTGACATTGTTGAATGGCATCATCAAATGCATTTTGAATCAACTCCAATGGAAATGAGCCTTCAATTGGTTCAGCTATATAACTCAACTTTTTCATATGATCAATCACATAAAATCGAATCGGTCATGGACAATAAACTTCACTGAATGGATTAGTTTTTGATACTGGATCAATCAATAACGGAATTCGATACTCAGTTGCTTGAATGAAATCATTTGCAATCTGAATTCGATCAGCATCACATTTTGGTTGAACATAACATATTCGACTAACAATTGGCCCCAAGGGGGAAAAAGCGCGACTTCATCTACTTCAAAAAATTTTTGAAGTACGATGGAAGTACATGGAAGTACAAGCGAAGTACAAGGAAGTACAAGAGAAGTACAAAGGAGTACAAGTGAAGTACAAGGGAGTACAGGGAAGTACAGGGAAGTACGAATGAAGTACAAGAGAAGTGCAATGAACTATCTTGAACTATGAATAACTTCTCATATAAGTATCATGGTTTTCATTTTAAGTATGTTATTATTCAGAACTATGATATAAAATACATTCTATGAGAGTTTTCGATAGATATTCTTCTATCAACCTAAAAATATTTGTAGTTTTCATTGCGCTAATCGAATTGATCATTTCATCTTATTAGCTGCCAGCAGAT